TATATATATATACACTGTCCCCATATCTTGAATTTTGTGATCATTCTAAATGTATTGTAATAGACTGAATCATGCAGTAAAAGAACACACTCTAAATGCGCACTCGCACTAGTCTCTAGACTTCACGTAATGTATGCGTGCGCTCTGTAGGGGTGTTTTGAATGGTTGTTGCATGACCCTACGTGACATGATTCATTTAGAAAAAATTGCCTTTTTGCATTTTTTATGCAAAATATTACACAAAATGTTGTGCAAAATGTCCAAATGTTTCAGACGACAAATAAAATAAGTCAAGATGTTAAACGATGTTAATATTGTTTCGTTAAACAAGAAATGGAAGGTCAAGTCAAGTGCATAGTCGTGTGCAGTGTACTTTATATGTAAACTGCACATTTTGGCAAATGTATTAGGTCATCTAGGTGTTCCATGCATGAAAATGTGCATAATGTGCACGGTACACATGCTGCAGAAGAATGAGTATATATGAGTAGTATGGGAGCATACCATTCTGACAATCAGGCCTGCAGCTGAAAACAGCTTAGTTACTGAGGACAGCTAGTAAATGCCACTAGTAGTTGGCAGGGGGCACACTTTCACCATCATTTACTCTGACACTCACCTGTGCAGATCTGATTGAGGTCGTATGTTTTGCAGCTACTGGAGTCTGCTGCTGAAGGGCCGGATAAACTAGAAGCTGTGCCATAGAGAACCAGAGTGAACTGAGTCAGAGTGCCTAAAACAGACAGAGAAAGAGATTCAACAATCTGACTCATGCACACAAGAAGCTCACAAAATTAGGACAGTTGCCAGTTGTGAATCATTATGTCTGTGTTCATTCGGTCTCAGTCAGTAGACTGTATTACACTATATGCACATTTATTCAGTCAGCAGATGCTGTCAACTCACAAATTAGGAACACAAGCGACCGACCAAAAGCAAACAACATTAGCACAGCTGATTTCGCAAGTAAACCAGAATAGGGCTAAGTTAGAATAGAGGTATTAAAGCAAAAAGCCACAAGAGGCAATGCATTAGCGATCTGACCAAAGTTAACAAACACAAAAAAACAAAAAAAACAAAACATTAGTTATTTAAAATTAAAAAAACTTTTAATTTCAGCTAGTTGCCTAAGGAAACACAACAAAAATTACTAAAACTTTACAATGAAAATAACAATATATATAAAACTGATTTAAAAATAATAATAAAACTCAAATCTCAATGATACCAAAATAATACTGATGATCACATAACTATGGAGCCTCTCATGGCTTACTGAATTTATCAAATGAAAGGAATATGATAAAATGTTAATCATTAAAATAATAATTGTAATATTAATGATAATCACAATAAACAATTCTTTAAGTAATATAGCTCATTAGAACTGACACGCATACGGATTAAGCATAACAAGCATATATCAGATAATTTTACAATTGTAATATGTAATAAAGGAATGACATTTTTTAAACTAAAATATTTAATTCTGATTGCTCATTTTACATTAAGATACTTTAGTATAATCACCTTTAGCTGCATGCTGCATAAATGACCACTGTCACGGGTAAAGGTTTCCTACACAGCTGTACTACACTGGTCAACATTTGAAATGGATCAAACCCTTACATCAAAGTTGTCCTAAAACCAAAATGCATTCTTGTCTTAGGACAACTTTGATGAACTTTTTTGATCCACTTCAAATGTTGACTACTGTAGTTTCATGTATCAATGCTTGACCAAATAAAAAGCAATATTTATTAGCCCTATTTAGTATAAAATAAGTCAAACGCAAAGTAATCCCCATTTGTATTCTATACTTGAAGAGTTTATTTGCAAAAACAGATAAGCAAATTAACTCTTCACTTGTATACGAGATAAAACGATAACACCCTTTCTATTTTGACAATGTCTGATTGTATATTATCACCTGTACATCTTGCTCATTTTGTGGCCACTAACACAAATTACTCGGAAGATAAAAGCTTGATCATCCTTGTGCCCTGTAACAGCACACAAAATGTCTGAACACAAACTTCTTGTCATCATCATTCAGTAACTGTAGTGCCACACTGCTTCGACATGCATTAGATAGATGGCACACTTTGTCTCTATAGTCCAATAAAGTCAGTAGCTCTGTAAATTCTTAAAGCAACAAAGAGAAATGGACTAGGTAATGCACTGGACGAATGGTCCATTCAATCCAGACATAAAGCAGTTGTGTTAGCGTCTGAGGACAAATGAATGGGCTTTGGCTGGAAGTCCCTTTATATTTACAGTGTTCATGAGCGGCTGGAGAGCGTGATAGTGGGAGAGGGAGAAAAAACTCAGTCCTCTGATTTACGTAGCTAGATTTAATTAATCAGATTTACTGCGGGATGTAGTGAAGGAAGACAAATTGACTGTGACATAAAAGAGGAAGAAAACAGGATTGGGCAAATCAGGCGGATTGGGAGAGAAGATACTCTTCATTTCTGTGAAGTGCACATCAGGGCACTGGCAGACATAAGAGACTTTTTTGGATCACAATCCATATCGGACTCTTTTTAATAATTTCCAAGTCCCAGACTGTTTTATCTTTTATTTTATGATCTTTTTATTTTCTTTTATGGCAATCTACTTTTTTATAATTTTTGTTTAATTGTATTTATATTTTCTTTATGCTCTTTTATTACTCCATTTTTATTATAATTTGTTTATTTTATTGGATCACAATCAATGTTTGACTTTTTAATCACTTTCAAGTCAGTTTTCTATAATTTTTGTTTTTATTTTGTTTATATTTTAATTTTACCTTTTTTTTTTACCATTTTGTAAACTAGTTTTATGAAACAGCCCCCTGTAATGGGATTAGGGTACACTGGAAGTCCAAATTTTCTGGATTTGAACCTGCATCTCCTGCATGAGCACCACGGCTCAACACATCTGAAGCATAAATGGAACAAAAAAAACTGCAAATTGGATGGACGAGCTATTACCATAGTCGCTGGTTCCAGCCATGTTCTCAATCTCCAACGTCCATTCTCCACGAGGGTCCTCATCCCAGGAGTGGGTGGTCATGAAAGCCCAGTCACTGAAGCCCTCAGAGGAGTAATCGTGAGGTCTGAGAGAGAAAGAGACAGAGAATGTTACACTTAACGGATTCAGCTATACTCTATTTGAGTATAAAGTGTGTGGAGGTATCCCTTTCAGTGCCTGACCTGGGTGCAAGCAGCGTGGAGCGGGTGCCCTGTGGGCTGATCAGGTAGATGGCCAGGTTTCCTCTGCGGTTGTAGGACAGGGTGAGCTGGGCTTGAGCATGCTCTAATGAGCTCACAAAGTTGTCCGTCCCAGCACATGCATCCACACTCTTATTGATCACCAAATGACTCCCAATATTCCTAAAAACAAGAAAATAGTGTTCAAGAACTGACGGATAAACCACAATGAAAAGTTATACTTCTTAATACAAGTAATTATGAATGCATTATGCATTATCATTAAAAATGTTGGGGTCTTTAAGATTTAACATTTTTGAAAGAAGTTTCTTATGTTTACCAAGGTTGCATTTATTTCATCAAAAATACAGTTAAACAGTAATATTGTAAAATTATATTACAATTTAAAATAACGGTTTTCTGTCTTAATAACTCTGTAGGCAGCAGAGATGCAGCTCTAAATTTAAATATGATAGACCGTCAAAAGTGATGTTTCGCTCCCACCTCGTTTCATATTCCTATTTCCTCTTGCACTTCATGACCTTTTTAGCAGCACTAAATTTAAAACATTCCGTTTGTGTGCACCGAAGAATCTCAGTTTGCCATATGTTAGTGAAGGATCAATTAAGACTGCAGTTTCTTCTAGCAGAGGATTTAGTTCACACAAATTAGTATTCTATCATAACTTACTCAGCCAGGCAAAAGCCATTTTGCAGAATGCTCATGCTGCTTGAAACGGTTACATTTTTCCATCCAAAATGTTTTTTAATAATAATAATTTTATACTATTTTTAAAATAATTGTATAATCAAAAAGAATGTCTAATCAAACGAATTAATAAATCCATATTTTTAATAATATATTAATTTTCATGTCTTTAAAATACCCTTCTATTCAAAAGTTACAAAATATTTTTATTTCACATAAATATTGTTTGTTTTTTTTATCATCAAAGAATTCTAAAAAAAAAATGTATCATGCTATCCGGAAAAATGCGAAGCAGCTAAACTGTTTTCAACATTGATAACAATAATAAATGTTTCTTGAGCAGCATATCAGCATATTAATAATTTCTGAAGGATCATGTGACACTGAAGACTGGAGTAATGATGTTGAAAATTCAGCTTTACGTCACAGGAGTACATTCAAATTAAACAGTTATTTTAAATTGCAAAAATATTTCACAATATTACTATTAATATATTTTAGTATATTTACTATTAATGTATTTTTTTTATTAATAATGTATTTTACATTTCCTTCGGACGACTTACTTGGCCTCAAGGGCGAGGGCGATGATTCCTGCCGCCAGAGGGGCTGAGGCAGAGGTGCCTGTGTGGGAGTCTGTGCACTTCTGCCTGAGGTCTGTAGTGACCTGAAACAGGAAGCGGAGCGAGAAAACATATCGCATCACTGATATGACGGGAAAATCCAATTATTCTAGATGGGAACACAATACCAACACTGTACTGACTTGACAATGAAGTCTCTCACAAAAGATGATAAAAGTTTAAAGATGAGGCATTTTTAATTATTTCAGAATGTTTCCTGAGGCGCAATATTAATGTTAGTAGGATTTTAACAAACTGTACGAATTTTGAAATAAAAGTAAATTTTCTACACTGGTTTTAGCTCTCAGGTCATTTAAGCATAAAAAAAAAAAAACTATTTGAAAAATAAATATTTTGTAACATTATGAAAGTCTGTAATGTCACTTTTTAACAATTTACTTTCAAGCAGTCTCCACAAAAATATTAAGCAGCAAAAACGGTTTTCAGCATTAACCTCAAAAAAAATTTTCTCGAGCACCAAATTAACAAGTGACACTGAAGATTCCAAACACTCTTTTGGAATTCACTAAAATAGAAAAAAAAGGATTTTTAAATAATTGTTATATATTTTTTCTAAATATTTCCAACATTTTTTATTAAATAAAGGCAGCCTTGGTGAACATAAGACATTAAAATAATTAAAATATTCCAACCTTTTGACCATTAGCCTGTATGTCAAATAAGGGAAATCTTGATTTCTCAATTCATAACCCAATCCGTTATCTTGCTAATTGTGTCCAGAATTGCTATTATTATTTGTTCATACTCAATCAAGAATTCAAACAAGACCCTTACACTCATCATTCAATTTTGATGTGCAACTAGTCCCTCACCATTTGCGCTACAGATATAACTGATACCTCAAATCATGAAAGTTGTTGAGGAGCACCGTGCTATTACTTTTCAAACTGAAATGACTGATCAAACTGATCCTCTAAATGTTTTTTTTTCAGGGGAATTTGGGAGAGAAAAAATAGACCGGGGATGAAGATTTCACAGAGACTTGGGAATTGGGCTCTTTCCACTTGGGTCAGTAGGAAACCACCCAGAACTTCCTAGCAACTGCATATCAATGCCTTGGCAACAAATCTTGCATCACAGCACTGGCATCTGCATGGCAGGCACCTCTTCTCATATTCTTCAGAAAATGTAAAAACCCTGTAAAAACTGCCATTCGGCTTCTGCCCGTTACGTGACCCAGGTGGTTCAGTAAAATGTTTGACATTTTCAACACTTGAGGGTAAAAAGCGCAGCATCTTTAAGCCCTTAGGGTCACACAGACAGAGCCGGAACAATTCAAGACAAATGCAAACATAAAAGGCTCGACGGGTGACACTTAAAAAACCAGGCATCGCAGGATGTGCACTGACTGCGACAGACCTCCTTGTGTGAGACTAATTGCTAAAAATGGCAGAGAGGCTGAATGACAGGAGCGATGACAGGAGAATTCAGCAATTGCACACTTAAAAATGGATCTTGGGAGACCACAGGAGAGGAATATCACCTGACAAGAGTCTGCTGCAGAGGAAACAGCGGGTATCAGGCTTCTGTCCTTTAAAAGCACACCTCCATTGTGAAAGCCAGTGTCTGTGTCTTGAATGCGAGACAATAGATGAGTCAGTCAGGCATAGCCGGTTATGAGAACAATGCTTGGGTGCGCGCCTGTCGGCACAGAGCCGGGTAAAGAAACAAAAACGATCATGAGCAAAGAAAATGTCATGCTATGACAGTGAGGGGTTGTTGTTTTGAATAACGGGGATATTTGTGCTTTGAAACTACAGCTTAACATTTTGTGAAGAACCCAAAAAGATTGTGTGCTCATGCAAAAGTCAGTGTCAATATGGCAGGGTGTTGCTATAGTCTTGCTAAGGTGATCTGAGTGGTTCTTAGAGCACTAATATCCAGTTGCTAGAGTGCTTAAAATAACACTTATTTTTTTTATTTATTAACTTTTTCCCCGCCAGTTTTTTTGAAAAAAGTTGCCAGCCGCCGCCAGCGATTTTCATGATTTTCACTAAAATTAGATGGCCTCCAGTATATTTTGCTGTTTGAATACACCAAATAAACCAAATACACCAAAATAAAGATCAGAGCCTCTACTTTTAAACAAAGAAATCTGTTTTATTCTAGCTTAAAGCATTCTTTTTTTTAAATCAACACTTGAATATAGGTAGGTTTCATAAAAAGGGTGAACAAAGGTCTCCTGTAGCGAATCGATGCATTTTTGTAAGAAAAATATCCATATTCAAAATGTAATAATCACTTCATTGTAGCGTGCGCCAACAGTTGTACATGGAAGCAGCTCCGGGAGCATGATGTATGAGTTCAGAGTTGCGCATGCGCCGGTGAGTCTCGTGAAAACCAACGTTTGTTAACAGGAGCAAAGGAAGCAAAGTTTCCTTACTTTGGCAAAGGAAAACCAGTCTCCTCTTGGCTTATATCGAAATCCTCTGACATTCTTCTGTACAAATCCTCGTTTTGTACTTCTAATAAGTGACCATTGTTTTGTTTTGATCTCTCCCTTGTGCTTCCGGGTTCGTCACTTCTGAGCAGCGCATGCGCAAAGCCGACCTCATACGTCATTCCCCCGGAGCTGCTGACGTACAGCTGTTGGCACAAGCTACATTAAAGTGATTATTACGTTTTGAATTTTTAAAATAAAAAAGTTCTATTTTTGGCAAATATAAAAGCCTTTTCACACCAAAAGTGAAATGAATAAGCCTCAGGCTGAAGGGAAAGTAAATTTAAGTCCGTACAGTAGAATGCATAAGAAGAAATTTCAACACATTTCAGCAATAAAAAAAAAGACAAGTGTTTGTCTAGAGTAATTTTTGCTTATTAGTATGGTTGAACTGGATCATCGAAGGTCAGAAGCAAAGACATTGGTTAATATAATGAGATTAAATACATAAAGGATATTTGTGTTGTTTAACATTTAATTGCAGGTTTGCGTCATATTCTGAGTTGCATTATTTTTATTCATTTTGAAGAATACCGAATCTGTGTTTTTTTTTGTGAGTGAGATGAATTAATGCATATTCATATTTATTTTAGAACTACAGTAATATCTTCTGATTTCTCTCAACATGGGGACAGGAGAGCTGTCAATCAATAAATTGGAAATTGGAAACACCTGTTTTATCATCAGCCAGGCCAAAATTGCAAGTCTGATCACTTAGTAATAGCACACCTCTCCTCAACCAGCTACATAATTTGATTCACACAGAAGAAATACTGTAGCTTTTATGGCTGGTCGCTTTGTCTGGTTAGGAGATGTTGTAATACTTAGGGCTGAGGTTTGTCGAAATCCCTAAGCACAAGTGTATGCAATAAAAACAGTGACGCTCGACTTAACAAACATCATTAATAATCGCACAAACAAAGATAAAACCAAGCCATGCGTGACAGTGAGAGGATATGGTTTGCAATCACAAGAACATCCGTGTTTTTGAAGCTTCAAACAGGCCATGAAGACAAAAAACATCTATCTTCCCTCTCACTAGTGACCGCAGCATTCACTGACAGCCAAAAAGCCTTTAAGAACTTTAAAGCGCCGGCAACAATTCTTCATAAATTGGCTTGGCAGTCTATCTTCTGATCTCCAACTGTTTTCAGATTCTTTATTTTTGGATTAGATTTGCTACGCCACTTCTTCAATTAAAGGATAACTGTTGCTAATTTTCTGGAGGCGGAGAGAGAGAGAGAGAGACTCACAATCTGTTTCTCATTGAGGCTTCCACTGCTGTAGGTTGTGGCGAGGGTGGACGAACAGGCCTCGCTGTACCAGGGCACGTTGCCGTTCTGCGTGCTGCTGCTGATCGACAGTGTGTAGATGCTATTGGTGTAGCCGTCGCAGTTGCAGCTGTCCTTCTCTCGGCCACCGTTCCCCGAAGCCCACACAAAGATGGAGCCCCGTCCTCCACGGCCCTAGAATTCAAGAGGAGAAACACACAGTCGGTCAAAACTGCTGGCATCTCGCTTCATGCAAGCCCAATCGAACACCGAGAGCCAGATGCGAGGGCTGCGCTGCCAAGTCTGAAACATGAGGATTACCGACGACAATACTCAAAACAACTGGATAATATTTGTGATGAGTGGAGTTTGGAAAGGATCGTCTGCCAGAAAGGATTTTCAAAGTGTCATGGACAATTAAAGCACTATCATGGTTTCGATTGCCGGGCCAGATGCTTTTAAAAGGACCTTGTGGGATGGCGCTAATGTTCAAGACATTTATCATGCATGTTTATTTTCAGGCGTAAATGAAAGACACAAACAGCACTGGGATTTTGCAGTCTACTTCTCAGAAGAAGTGCAGTAATGCAAAAGCAAACTGTCAGAACCGATAATGAGCTCATGAAAAATACACAAAATTTCTTCTTATGCATTCTACTGTACGGACTTAAATTTACTTTCCCTTCAGCCTGAGGCTTATTCCTTTCACTTTTGGTGTGAAACGGCTTTTATATTTGCCAAAAATATAACTTTTTTTATTTTAAAAACAAACAAGCGAGTCCTGTCGAGATTTAAAAAGTAATGCAAAAGTAACGTAATGCATTATTTTCCATTAAAAGTAACTAAGTAACGTAATTAGTTACTTATTTTATGGAGTAATGCAATATTGTAATGCATTACTTTTAAAAGTAACTTTCCCCAACACGGTGTATGAATAACCAAGTGACTTTCATTTTACCATGTCGCCACAAGGAAAGGCCAACAGTGCAAATAATTTGATTCAGATGCTGTTTGCTTCTTGCCTTTGATCGTTTACTGTACCTTACAATTTCAGCAATGTGCCAAATAAAAGTCTGCAGGAGAAAATAGCGTGCCGAGAAAGGCTGCAGTGCAACGTTTGGCTGTGTCTTTGAGAGTCTGCTCTCTGTTACAGCGCACACCTGCTTGATTGTGGGCATCTATTCAGCGAGGGTGTTTACACAGACCAGAGCCCCATTTGCATTGGCCTTCTCCACGCAACATGGATCTTGTTTCCCAAACAAATCTGACTGCTGGCACACGCAAACGCTCATGATTTGGACACCAGAAACAATGGCTAGAATATATGGATGGGGAAAATACTAAGCTAGTTTGAGTAATCAGTTCAAGTTTATTTTTTTTTATTTTTTTTGGTCCTTGTCACTTATTTATAGGAACAGTCACAGGGAAATTCTTACAGCTCTCACCATCTGTCCTGTTAAAAGATCTACCCAATATAATTCAGTAATTCTAATGTAATCATTCATACTTGGAACAAATTAAGCAACAATGCATTTATGCTATGGATCTATGCATATAGTGTATGCTATCTATGCTATGACATAAAAGTAATACAATGTAGCATTAAGACACCTAACGTCTACTAATACTTAAATGTTATACTGCAAAAACATCAATAAATAACTATTGTTATTTATTGTTGAATTTAAAGAATCATTTTTTACAATAATAGATAATCTAACAAACTGTAAATTGAAAAAAACAATGACAGTGATCATGTTAAAATAAACTGAAGTTGTGGCTTGCAAATTACTTAAATACAATTAACTTAGTGAAAAGAAAAAAAAAACACTTCTAATTTCAGCTAGTGGCCAAAACAACATTTAGGTTTTTCATTTAGTTTAAGTACAACAATAATTAAAACTAAATATACGAAAAATAAATAAATAAAAACTGTATAGACGCATTTAAAAAATGCCTTCAAAACTATTACAGTATATCAATGATACTAAAATAACACTGCCCTCATGTTGTTCTAAACCTTCCTATCTTCAAAATAATATATTTTTGAAAAAAAAACAAAAAAACTACAGCAGCAAGAACAACAAAAAAAAACCCAGATAAAATTTTAATAATATTTTCTTGTGTTCCACAGAAGCAAATATGGCATACAAATTTGGGACGACTTGAGGGTGAGTAAACTATAACAGAATTTTCATATTTGGGATGAACTATTGCTTTAAGTGATGCATATCAATCTTGCGTAAAGTGGTCTTGCGTACTAAATCGCCTCAGTATTTTTCAACAAAAGGTCTGCTCATATAAAATCCATCCACGACACACTGCGGTAGGTAGCGTCTTGGCACGAATCTCCTCCATTGTCCTTTAGCTTGGCCTCAGCCAGTTTTACAACCCCAGAGCACATATTCATAATATGAGTGAAGGGCTGAACGAATGCCGTTCCGTTACCCCGCGCATGATAGCAGTTTAGCTCAAATGGCGTTAAGTAATTAGGTATTAAGAATGTCAATACTGTTCATGCTCTGGAAAATCCGCATGAAGATGTCTTGGTGAAAATTGCCATTTAATGTGACATTTAAATTAAACAAACTTCGCTCTGACTAGTAAGTGCTTTTATGACTGAAGGCACTCGCAAATGAAGTGTGCCAAAATCAAATACAGAGCATCCCTTCCACCGCCCCCCTGACCTCGCTAACTTCAAAGCAAATAAGAAAAATCCACTTAATTCATTTGAACCGCAAATTTCTGCCCTCTTAAATGCCGCTGCTGGTAAAAGTTCAAGGTTAAGAGAGGCAAACTCAGACCATCTCAGCACAAGAATTTCAATGAAAACATGTCTACTGTTTGTGGCACAGACCAACTGATGCAGATAACGGCAGGAAACAGTAGCCCATGAGTCACAGAAGCAATTGTACATGTCATGCAAAACAGGACATTTCCACTGCTCATTTTGAAACAGGTTTTATGTAGACGTTCAAAGAAAACTTCCTCCACGGTTCATCCGAGTGAAAAATGTAGACTTCGATACGGCATATATATATATAGCAGTACGGTACGGAAAGTATTCAGACCCCCTTAATTTTTTCACTCTGTTATATTGTGTATATATATATGTGTGTGTGTGTGTGTGTGTGTGTGTGTGTACAAATTAAACAGAATAAAGAAATGGCTTTAACACATTCATCTAATTTAAAGTTTTAAATCATGAACATTTTAATAATCTCAGACGTGGTCTGCCTTGATCAACAACATTGTGAACTATGCTGACGTGTAAATTTAGCCAATGATAATAGACCATTTACATATACATATCATTTAGATAAGTCTTAAGGCCTGTTCACACAAAGAACGACAGCTATAAAGATAACTAATTACATTAGTGTCCACACCAACACACGATAACATTTAGTTTATTCAGTGTGCACTGCTGTTATGTGATCTGGTGCTTTAAATCAGGATGGATTCTACATTTTTATTGTTCATTAGCTGAAGAAAAAAAAGTTTTTAAAGTGATTTCAATTATATTGTTCCTCTGTGCTGTTATAGTTGTGGTGTGGACTCTGCTTTACTTTTAAATTAAGAACAATGTTTAAAACAATATCATTATTGTTATCATTATAGTTATCGTCCTTGCTGTGAAAGGGCTTTTAAAAGGTACAGTAATGCAGCCGAATTCACTCTAATGGGCAGAGAGAGGCTGGAAAATTCTTTGACAAAAAATATAAATTATGAAAAGTAATATAAATTGCCTTCCAGGAAACAATAAAATGAAC